GGGGGGTATTTAACATGTACTTATGCACAGTATGCTCATACTGTGCCGGAACAACATTGGGCGAACTCAACTGCTTCTTTTTCTTTCCTCATCCTTACTATTGTCATTTTTCCACAACTTCTTTTGTATGTTTGTCACTCTCTTGTGAACTGCTATTTCCGGGGTGTCTTGATAGTCGAAGCAAACTTTGTGCTGTTGAGGCTAGAGAGCTGAGCCGAGTAAGTCGGATTCCCCGGTTGTCTTCTCTGTTGACATCCACCCCCTGGCGCTCATATGACCTTCATGCAGTTGCGAGCGCCCTGAAGCCTTACTATAAAACTAAACTGAAACCTCCATCTACTTATTGTTTATTTGTTGTGCCCATAACAGCAATGATGATGATAATGCTTATGATACTTATGATGATGATGATGATGATGATGATGATGATGATGATGATGATGATGACGATGTAGTTATTGTAATGGCAATAAACGGGGCTCAGTAGAAGTACAAAAGTGGGGGGGAAATGTAGATTCTTTTGTCTATAGGATTGAAAAGCTCCCGATTTCCAATAATGGTACGTTCTGAAATCACACTTATTTCACGTTTTTTGTTGTTGCTTTTTTGAGTTGAACAACAATACGACTCGCAAATTTTGTCACTCTGTCTGGGCCAGCTGCTTGAATAATTGACCATGTAGCCATCAAACCTTTTAACTTTACTAGCATTTACCTTAATTGTTCTTTCAACAATAATGACGTTTTGGGCAAATAATACCCCTTGTGCTGGTAATTGCTGGTCGCCTGCGGTTAAACTATAATTTATTTCTCTCTAATTTCTCTTACCACTTGCAGTTTGGTGTTTTTATACCGATCGGTTTGCTCATTTGTCTCTTAATTGTTGGGGGAGGGGGGGTTGGGGTGGGGGACGGCGGTTCTTTGTGGAGAGGGAGAGAGGGCGTAGTTTGTTTTTAATGTTCTTGTTCTTGTTATGTTGTTGATGTTGTGGGTTTTTAAAAAAGTCAAACTCTTTAGTTGATATTTAAGAGGTTATTTTGAAGGGTCATCTTGTTCTCAGCCAGAATACTAGGCTGAAAGTTGACGGCGCCGCAAGCCTATTCACAAACAACGCTCAAGAGCGGAGGCTTCATATCAGAGGCCTCTGCCATTGACATGGTATTGGACTATGTAGAAAATTCTCCCAAGTCGTTTTGACCATTCAGTCCGATTCTTTTTCTTGTCTCAATCCACTAATCCCTTTCAATCTCTTAAATCCTAAAAAAAAGTTCAATTATAGTTGAGGATTCTCTCCTTGATGGAATATGGAAAGCGTGGCGTGGTGTGTTTGTATGGCTACCAAGCCAGGCATGCATCGGAGGAACGAGCAGGTCGATCCCCTGGCAAAAGAATCATTGTCCGTCCGTATGGGATCGACGGAGAACACATTCCCACAGACAGACTTTAAAAAAAGGTCAAAAGCTGCACCTCCAGCCGGTGGGAGAGGCAATGGAGCGAACAAGTGAATAATAAACTCCACAATAAAATCTCCGAATTGGCGACACGAAAACTTTTGGGTCTTTCCAGAAGACACGAAATAAAAAAACAAAAAAACAAAATGTCATATTGGACATATGAGTGTTTTTTCTCCTATCTCCCTGTAACATGTTATACCTCCTGCAGGGAGGTGAAAAAATCATTCTGTGTGGGATGCGGTACCGACTGACTTCACTTTCCGGCATCTCATTAATAGAGTGCCCAGATTTTAGAGGGACCAAAAGGAAATATTTTAATTGCCCTGATTTAAAAGAATTCTTTTTCTATCGCTGATCTCAACGGGATTCTCGATTTTACTAAAAACCATTAATATGTTTTTAAAAAAAAGACCAACGTGAGTCCGGCGCGCTTGTATGACCTCACGCACAAACGAACGAGAGAGAGAGAGAGAGAGAGAGAGAGAGAGAGAGAGAGAGAGAGAGAGAGAAACCATCACGGCTTTTGCAGATTTACACATTTGGAACTCTGCACATCAAACGTCTGTGCGAGGACTGCGTGCAACGCCTTTTTATTACCCCTGGCTTTTTTTTAAAAGCCTACTTAAAATTTAAACGTAATAAAAAGAAACCAAACTTGAATGTCCCTGACGTGTGTGTGGGTAGGCGGCGGGCCAAGCTCACAACTGTCGCCTGAGCGCACAACTTCTATCCATACACTGCTCACGCTTTGCAGATGCCCGCTCTTTCCCATCCCTGGTTCCTGGAGTTCGACGCTGGTAGACAATAATAATATATTATTATAGGGGCTGGCGCGGACGATAGAGAGGCGATATAAATAGACGCAATATAGAGACGGTATGACGCTGGTCAAGATGCGATGTAGACGCCATTAAATACGTCTCGTGAAGACATTTATTTCACTTCCCGTAGGCTTGGCGAATATAAACTGGCGTGTTGATTCGCTTCTTCTGTCCAGTCTAGGGGCGAGGTGCTGCGATGCATAGAGGAATGATTGTGAAAGGGGGGGGGGTGGGGGGTGGAGATGGGGCTATACATCAGTGCAGTCACAACTTCCCCCCCCTCGGGTGGGATGGTTTGAGAGACAGAGAGATAGATAGATAGATAGATAGATAGATAGATAGATAGATAAAAGAGAGAGAGAGAGAGAGAGAGAGAGAGAGAGAGAGAGAGAGAGAGAGAGAGAGAGAGAGAGAGAGAGAGAGAGAGAGAGAGAGAGAGAGAGAGAGAGAGAGAGAGAGAGAGGGAAAGGGAGAGGGATAGATACAGAGAATTATGTGGAGAGAAAAAAACAAAAACAAATACAGATGGAGACGTTTAGTTTATTAGTGTATCCATCTTCAATGAATGTATTCATTGATTCATTCATCCATCCATGTATCCATCTCTTTCCAGGTCACTGACCCCTGGCAGCACAGACGACCTCAAGGCCACAGTCATGTCCAAGATCAAGGACACAACCTCCAAAGCCAACATCGGCAATATTTTCAACCGCAAGAAGTAGAGTCCACTCAAAACATGACCTCCTGACCGGTCAAGTGACAAGGATTTATTTCCTTATGTTTTCTGTCAGTTTTAACATTTAGACCTAAAGGTTTCTTGTGTGAAGTTTTATCTACTTTTTTAAAATTTGCTGTACTCTAAGACCTTGGCTGATTGGTCTCTGTTGTGCAGTGCTCTTTGTCGCAGCATACAGAAGTCCTGGCAATCAAGTACAGCTGAAACTGTCTAAGAATGCAACCCATTGTCTAGAAAAACTGGCGGTCTTATGCAGGTGGTGGTCTTGCACTTACAAGTTACACAGTGCCACCATAATGTACCCAATACACAAGGGAAGAAATTGGAATTGGGCGTTTATTCAGGTGATTGTATTATGCATGTGGCTGTTAGAGCAGGTTCAACTGTATCACCATAATTATATAGATCTGTTTGGGTGCTGTATCCTCCCTTCTTTGCCAGAGATGGTCCTTGAAAGTAGTGGGCTCTTTGATAAACAATATTGTTTCTACGGGAAAGCATTTTTACAATCATTTGAAAGCTTGAAAAGGAGGGGGAGGGGGCATCAGTTACTGGCAGGAGTGCAGCCCATCTTAACTCTTTATTCCGAGGAGGGTAAACCCACTACATCGGGGCCCTGTTTTGGTACTAAATCTAAAAGTGACAATGATCAAAACAAGTGAACCTATTTTTATAGTTCTTTCGTCTAATGAAGGAACTGGTAAAAGAGACCTATGTTCGGCAATTGTTGAAAAGTAATTTGATGTTGACGTTGTCGCAAAGGAATGTGCCCAAGCTGCTGCCAGCAGCTCACCGGCACAGCAGTTTCGACTGCAAGCCAATGGGAGCAGCTTGCTGGAGATAAGGGGTTAAGATTCTTTAAGTTGTCACAGAGAAGAATTCCACATCTGTGGGTAGCAGTTAGGCGCTTTGCCATTGAAGGCAGGAATGTGTGGAGAAATATCTAGCAAGCATCGCGGTCTTCCTGCTAGGATGTTTAATCCCTCTCAGCTCGGGTTGGCCTTGACAGGCAGGGTCGAAAACATGCCTCCTGAATGATCTAAACTGTGTTGATCGGGGCTTAAATGCACCTACATAATTTTTAAAAAGCTGGATTGAAAAAGATGAAACAGAGGGAGAAATGGGATATGTAAGATCTGATAATGCCCACAGTTGATAGAGTGGACCTGCTCTATGATTCATCTTTTGTAGGTGGTAACTTTTTGCTAATATGAAGTACTTAAGCTTGTAAGTAAGGGTGATTTTGATTTCCTCAGTATCATTTTATTTAAATGTTTAAGTGACCAATTGAACCATGCACATTTTGAATGTGAAGCCATTTATATAATCAGTAAACGCGCTTCATCCAAATACATTATGTCTGCTTCATCTTGATGGAGAAATTCTGTCAGTGTTTTGTACATTATTATGCCTTCTCACTTTTATTTCCTTGAGGTACATACATTTTTATATTCAACCAGATTCCAGACAAAGAAACACTTTCTGATTACACAATCTGTTCATATATATTCCAAATTTTGAATTTTCAAAAATGATTAATTGAGATGTTATGATGTTGTTGGACAGTTTCTTGGACATGTGTTGTCTCTTTACTAATTTCTTCTTTGTGGATTCTTGGTAAAGTTGGTGTCCAAACACATGGCTAGTGTGAATTTCCCTTTGAAGTACAACATATTTGAATAAGATAAATAAGAAAAGTTGAAGTTGAACTCTAAAGCACAGTGGTCTGGGGGTCTATAAACAGGACATGGCGCCTTTCAACGCATTAAAAAAGATGTCATCATGAATTGACAACATCGCATGCATACCAGATCTCTATTTTTATCTAGCTTAAGAATTCCAGTGCAATTTTATAAAACATTCTCTGTCTACTGGCGAGGTACATCTATTATTTTCAAAGTTTGAATGAATTGCCTGTTCTATTTTATTTGACTTTAGATTCTTAAAGAAATTTTTTAATTCATGGCCATACAGAACTATCAACATTGATTATCGTATACAGCTGTACCATTCCTTTTCTTATTTCAAATCTTTCCCCTATTTTATGTGTGCTATGTATTTATGCATTTGTCTGTTTAGATTGTTTTGCTTTTATGATGTATGTTTTTGTCTGTTCAGATTTTTATTCAATATAAATTGTTTGCAATAAACAGGTTTGATGGTGGGGTGTGATGTCAGTACTTGACACAGTGCAATTTCAGACTAATCTTTGTATGTAATTCATTTTGGTTTTTTTTAGCCTTTCTTAACTACACCTGAGACTAGAAATGTGAGTGTTTGGGGTTCTTTCTTGACTAATCTATTTGACGTACGTTGTGGCTCAAGGCTGTGTATGCAACATTGACAATTTAATCATCTTTCAGTGGTTGTGATCAGCAAAGTCTCAATCTTTCTCCTGTTTTGAGCAAGATGGCTGAGGTACAATAAAGGACGACTTTATTTATTCTCTAGGACTTGCGTTTTGTTGACTATGCAATACACTTTATAGATATACAAGTCACTGCTGGTGAAAGTACAAAGATGATAGGGTATTAGTGGTTCTCAGCAACTTTGGGGGGTTAGTGTAGTAAAAATCTACTTCATTAAGCGATGGTTCATTTCTACATGTATTATAGCTGAGTTCCAGCATGAATACTATGCGTTAGCTCACATATTCTCAATTAACAAAGAACAGACTAGGTAGTGGAGGATATATTTTGTGTGTATGTTGCCAATTTATTTTTGTACAATGTTTTTCCAACTGAGTGCCTAAGCACAGTTTTGCAATGGCACTATACCTCATAACTATGTTGTGACAAACATTTATTGTTGTCAGTGTAATCTCCACAATAACTTTATGTCTGTACTAATTATAGTTGTTCCTGTGTGTCTGATGTGCTGTCTTTGTGTGCGTGTTCCTGTGTATTGAATGTTGTGTTGTCTTTTCATAGGTGTTCTTGCATGTCAGATGTGGTGCTGTCTTTGTCAACATGTTCCTGGGAGTGAGATGTTGCTTTGTCTTTTGTGTTTCTTTATGCTGTTCAGAAACACATGTTACAGACCAGCTGTGAACTTTAAACGTATGTATTTGAAGTTTATATTTGTTCTAATCCAAATTGCTTCTTCGTAATGAAATAATGTGTTTTTGTTATCATGTGTTTGAATTGCTTTCTCATAATGTTTGATGGAATATTTATTTGTTGATGAATTGAAACTGCCGTTTTGTAATGATATATAATTATAGAATATCCTTGCTCATGTATGTGCTTGTTATTGTGTGTGAGTGTGTTTGTGTGCGTGCGTTTTTGCTTGTGGGTTTCTATGTTTGCTTGTACATTAACATGAGTATGACTAACGCTAGCTTGGTGTTGATAAAGAGTGATGAATCGCAAACATGTTCTGGTGATATTTATGTGCTCCTGCGGATACATTTTTGTGTTATCTTTTCTTGATTTGTACACATGCTCCCTGTGAATAACTTGAACATTCCAATTGATGGGCCCATTGCCTGTGAAGTACGGTCCAGATTTATTTGACATCTTGTTCTTTCTTACCTTTGTTCTTATACCTTGCTCCTGGTAGGGGCTTCTTTCATCCGCTACTTTTCCACTTTTTCTTTTTCACCTTTGGTATTGTCTCTGTCCCCTTCCAGATCAATGTTTTTCTAACTTTTTCTTCAGTTTTCCACTCTTCCACACACTTTTATCACTTTTAAAAGTTTATTTATTTATATATATATATTATATACTTAAAAAAATTTGGAGCATTAAAATATAGACAATCCCATGGAGTCAGTTCGTGTGGTCATAAATAACTCACTTAACTCCCCTGCCCCAGATATGCTCTGTGGGTGAGACCAATGTGGGTGGGGTTGTTGGAGCATGGTCAGTCTGGGCAGGATTTGAGTGGGTTGGCTCGAAATGACCAACATGGACAGGGATTAGCGATCAGTGTTGGTGTAGTCAGTGTGGACAAGGCTCCTATGGGTGTGGTGAGTTGGGAGTGGGGTTAGTGTGGGTGTGGTCCGTGTAGCTGTGGCGAGTATAGGTGGGGGCTAGTGTCTGTGTATGGTTAAGTGTGGCTATGGCTAGTATGGGCGGAGCCAGTGTGGGTGTGGCAAATATGGGCGGAGCCAGTGTGGGTGTGGCAAATATGGGCGGGGCCAGTGTGTAAGGGGTGGACTTAGTGCCTGCAATATGTCTTTCCCTTGATCAGGTTTTCCTGACTAACAAACTTAATCTCTTTTTTGAGGCGGTACAGAATGTTGTCAATGAAAAAGAATCCTTTATCCTACGAACCTTGTTTTCAACCCTTTGAGACTATAAGCCTATCTGCTTAACAATGATTTTGTCCTGCAATGTGCCTGAGGTTTTTGTGTAGGCCTATTCATCAAACTATTTTTTCTTACTGTGGTTGGCTCCTTCTTTCCTATCAAACATAATCTGTTGTCCTCATCTCTTCTCCTTCTCTCATTTGTTTGCTACTATCTTGTAACACCTTTAATCTTCGGCACTTATACATGTATAACGTAATGGTATTGCAAGTGCTTTAAAATTGTTTACCAAAACTAAAACCTAACTAGACTATTTTCTTTATTATAAATAGTTACTAAATCAAAATGTGTGAAATTGATATATTTTGTTAGAGTATTTGAGTACTGTGGCGTTGTTGTAATTGTTTCATGTTTGAGTGACTTTTGGTTGCTTCCTTTTCACCAAAGTTGGTTTTTTTTTTCCTTTGAGATCTTTTGAGTTAATGTGTCTCTCGATATCTAATGTCCTCTGACCAGACTCTTCACATTGCTGGCACATACCAGGGCCTGATGTAGATCACTAAATATTATATATGGTTATTGTGCTTCACCATTTGTGGAATAATTTGGAAGAGGACATCTTTGATGACAACGATGGATAAGACTAAGAGGAGAAAGTAATAAACTGCGCAGTTGTGGTGAGCTATGTAGATCTATAGCTTGCACGGAAAACACCATATTGTTATTCTATGCACTTATGATGAGACCGAGAACTTCTATCCCACCCGTCCAGCTATCTATCATGCTAGTGGATCAAAAACTGTGATAACCTAAACAGCACAGGGAAGATACATGCACACACAAAGTAGATTACATGATGTCATCATGACTTGCTGTCATCTCTGTGACTGTTAGTGCCTGTATATCAGCATTTGTGACGTAAATTGTCAGGCTCTTAGATGTTGTCTCAGAAGATGTGCGTTCGATTCCCAAAATGAGAGAGTAATTTGGGGGG